ATTCTTCTTCCCCAGGTGCAGGACCATGGATTTTCCATTGTTGAACATCATGAGGTTCCTCTCTGCCCATTTCCCCAGCCTATCGAGGTCTCCCTGAATGACAGCACAGCTCTCTGGTGCGTTAGCCACTCCTGTCAGTTCTGTATCACCAGCAAACTTGCTGAGGGTGCCTCTGTTCCTCCATCCAGATCACTGATGAATAAGTTGGAACAGTATTGGACCCAACATTGACCCCTGGGGGACACTGCTAGTTACTGGGCTGCAGCTAGACTTTGCGCCACTGATCACAGCCCTCTGAGCCCTGCCATCCAGCCAGTTTTCAGTCCACCTCACTGTTTGCTAATCTAGCCCACGCTTCCTGAGCTTGCCTAGGAGGATGTTACGAGACACGGTGTCAAAAAGTCTTACAGAAGTCCAGGGAGACAACATCCACTGCTCTCCTCTCATCTGCCCAGCCGGTCATTCCATCACAGAAGGCTATCAGGTTGGGTAAACATGATTTCCTCTTTGGTGAGTCCATGCTGAGTACTCGTGATGTCTTTCTTATCCTTTATGTGCTTGGAAATGCTATCCAGGATGAGCTGCTCCATCACCTTTCCAGGGGTCCGGGGGAGGCTGACTGGCCTGTTGTTCCCTGAGTCCTCCTTGCTCTTTTTGAAGACTGGAATGACATTTGCTTTCTTCCAGTCCTCAGGCACCTCTCCTGGTCGCCATGACCTTTCAGAGATGATGGGAGAGTGGCCTTGCAATGACATCGTTGAAATAGGTAGTGAAGCACAGAGAGTCTTAGCCCCAAGGAGCTTACAGAGGACAGCTCACATAGACATCCTAAGGTGAGGTGCCTAACTAAATCTGGTAAAGCTCCTATTAGCTCTTCATGCTAAGTACTTAACAGTCTTGTCCTGAATGGCCGCATGCAGACACTTTTATGCCTTTTTATATACTGAAATATTTTTTTTTTGGCCAATTCAGGACCTATCCTAGCAGCAGAAGGCAAGGTATTCTTTTCTGAGTAGGCACAAGGAGGTTCTGAACTTGTGGAAATGATCCTCTCTCACCAGTGTCAAGAGCATCACTTCTGGACCAGGGTTAGGCTCCTAATTCTCAAAATTTCTTGTGTCTGAAGGGTGTAGGCTCTTAAGCCAAGTGATGCATTAGATAAGATAATAAGAGAGGAAAAGAAGAGATGAATAGAGAATGTGATGGTGCCACTTTTAAATTGTGATTTCCATCAGGGACAGATCATTCCTTATTTGAACACTTCAATAGATAATGTATTATGGAGACAAACAAACATCTACTTTAGAGATTTCATCTGCTGTTCATCTGCACAGAGCATTTTAAAATGGCAGTGCTAATCATATGACAGAATTATAGAGACCAGTCCAGACTGTCAGGTATTCTGGAAAGGGCTTGTTAAAGGACAAAAATTATGTAGCTGTTACATTTAAATGCTATTTTCTACCCGCTGTTAGAATACATTGTACCAAAAGTCTGACAGTACCGCCTTAAAGGGGGAGAAAAAGATTTCAGCTTGAGACATTTAAAAGAGATTGTTATTTACAAGAAAAAATAAATTGCAGCATATTGGACACCTGAGTACTAGAAGTAAAATGACGTACTGCCAGATTCACAGTTTTGCTAAAAACAAGCCAACATTGTCTTACTCAAGTTTTCCGAATAAATCCACCTTAAGCAGAAGCTATACTAGGGAAACCTGCTGCCAATCCTAAAAGCCACAGCAGTAATCACCAATTAAAACCAGAGTCTTAGAATGGAAATTGCAAAGCACGCACCTTACCCCACAGTGCCAACAATCTGCAGAAGGCACTGGTGCCTTTCAGGAAAGGGCTAGGCCCAGGCTGAAGGACATTTTTCAAGGTACCGGTATTGCAGCCACCATGCCATATCTGGGATAACATCTGAGAAATGCGGCTCGGGGTTTCAGTAAGGATACTCTGTCTCCAGTCACATACACAAGGCAGGAAAACCACAGCTGCAGTGTTTCCACTACCTGTCTTGAACTTGCACATAGGCAAGCCCAGCAGCATTCCTGAAGCCCTTGGGTGAGCCTTCAAGGGATGACTTCACACCTTCGCATGACGTTAATTTACTCCTTTGGTTCAAAACACCATACAAGCTTTAAGGTATTTTGTATTCTTGTTGGGGCGCATCTCTGTGTAAGCCGATTATCACCACTGTGCTGTATGAATTGCCTGCTAGCACTGGGACAGAAGTGTTTCCCATGGCTAGAGAGATTAAAAGCCTTACTGTAGGATGCTACGCCCGCATGGAAGATCCAGCAAAAAAGCATGCTTGTAATCTGTCTCAGCACACTCAGACAGCTACTGATAGAAGCATTTTGTACTGAGGTGGTTTTGCACTGAATAGAGCAGGAAGGATTTGCACACTGTTTTGTCAGCTGAGTTGCAGAGACAGTAAGATGGGAGTCGGTAAGAGCTTTGATAGACACAGCTGAACAAAGGCAAAGACATCAGCCTCTAATGAAAGCAGGCATGGGAAATTATTTAACGATTCTCCGTCCTCTGTTCACCGTTGCAATTACACAGATTTACAAGGGACAGTTGTACCAGTATAGTTTTCCATTTACACTTCAGCATGTTTATTACAGATGCTGCTGTAATAAAACTGTACACAGCAGTCACATCACCACATGCAGTCAGTAAGAATAGTATTTTTTCTTGTACAGACGGGCCCTTACCACAAATCGGTTATATGTTTCACCCGATCACAGGTAGAGTCAGTAGTAAGGCCCATAGGTTAAGGTCACCCAGTACTTCCTACTGTAAGATTCTGCTGTTCATTACTTATGTTTTTTTGCCCAGGATGTCAAGCTTCCACTTCCATGAGATTCTTCCTCAGATCCACTTTTAAAATTAAAAGCTTGGTAGCTACAGTTGTAAGCTAGTGGGGCAGCCTGTCATTTTCACAGTTTTGACAGCTCGGTATTTCTGAGCACAGTCAACTAGTTATCACAGAACCGAGGCAACATTTTTTCCAATGTAGCGGTACTGCGAATTAGGAACAATTTAACTGCGTAGAAACATAAATTTGCTGTTCTCTGCTGGAACTTCAGATACGGTTTAAAAAAAAAAAAAAAAAAAAGGATGGGTAACAACTTCTCTCCAAAAATGTGAAGTTCATGTCCAGTTTTAGATTTTCACGGGTCACTTTAAAAATGCTTCTTTACTGCTGGGAAAGTGGCAGAAACATTTTTAAAAAATTATATGGCTTTTATATATTAGTTCTGCTAAGAGTTGTTTTAGCTTTAAAGAATGCATTGAATAAACGCACTTTAAGCTTTTAACAATAATCTGCAGTATGGTTTAACTATGGCAGTAGCTTCTTACGCTTAGTATTAAGCTGTTCATTTACGGTATAAATATTAGTGCTCGTTTGTTCCCTCTATGTTCATGTGCAAAAAAAGTCTTATCAGACGAGCACTCTATGCTCAGAGCAGTTTATAATAGTCATTTACTTAAAACAGGTCAGATGCAGCAGCCTTCTTGTACAGCTGTATAGTTGCTGAGCAGTTCTGCGCTGTAGGTACGCTGCAGCTTTTTCAACCGGTAGGAAAAAGTACTTGGCTGAACACATGGGAAAGAAATGAAAACAAGAGAAACGAAAGCCTACAGGAGCGAGCAACGATGCTGACGCATCTAATGCGGAACGGTCCCCTACAAAACCCCTCCTTCCCTCCTAGTTCAGTGAAGACGATGTAACGTAACCAGTTAGTTGTAATCTGTTGATCGATGATTTCATATTTGTCTGCTTACAAATATATATGCAAAAAGTGAAGATCCAGTTCTGCCTTCCCCCCCC